CCTTAATCTAAAATCCTCTACTTAACCATTAGCCTCACATCCACCCTGTTTGTAGTTTCTTCATTCAGGTTTGTAGATCTGAACCAAATCTTTCACCAAAGAGCAACGGACTGTGGGCAATATTTGCCATTAGAATGTACACGGACCCACACTTAAAATCTGAAATGGACCATCCGGGGACTTTTGGCATACTCTAACATACAATGCTTTGGAACACTTATTTTACTCGCGTACTATTTAGGATGGACATTATGAACATTGGGATGGTGATTCTCAGTGTTGAGAAACAGCACTTACCAAAAGGAACTAAAACACCTTGTCACTTGATAGTTGACTCACCCTAATTCTCAGTGACAAAGTGGTCACAGAACTCACTCAAGAATAAAGTGACGTGACTTTACCCATGATTCTCAATGAAGGAATATCTCGGATGAGCATTCACATCAGGTACTTGGGTGGCCACACAGCGGTCCACAAACACACGCAGAGGGACGTGGTTGTACACCTTCACAGATGCCTCAATATTAATAACGTCACCCAGAAAGTATAAGTTTGAAGGCCTCTGATAGGACCAGTCATCTGAAAGAGAAAAGAACGGTTTAGGCACAGCCTCATTGACAAGGCTTAAGATCTAAAGAACCTGCACAAACCCATCATGAGCTTCAGGGAGAACATCAAGACTTCCTCGCCAACCTCCGTTGAGGCATAAGGGACCCAAGTTGGCCTCAAAGCATTACTGCTCACATTATAGAACCTGCAGTTCAAGTAGGTACCAAAAACTTTTCCAGTTGCAACACCACAATAAACAGTGCTGAAAAACCACATCCGGTCACTTACCTTTGATAGTGGCATTGAACACCAACAACTGCACGATCGGCACGGGTAATCGGAGTTCCAGCAAACACCTCAGGAGTGTAGGTAAGAGCAAAGGTGTAGACAAGCTCATCCTCAGTCATCTGTAAGAGATTGAAGTCATTACCATGAGAGTTCTCCTCGACTACTCTTAAAAGGTTCAAAAATAAATAAGTTTTAGCAGCCATGCTATAGAACCACTTCTGGTTCCCCAATAGCAGCTTCCAGTGAGCAGTTCATTTAAAAAAAATGGATAAAAAAACCCCACCACTATAGGAATGGAAAAGTCCATGTTAAACAGTCAAGTTACAATTGACACAAAGAACCTTTTTTTTTGGTGTACAAATCCAGTAAGATTTAATAGTTCTTACCATCAGCACACTATTGCAGTCCTGTAGTTCATATTCAAAGATGAGCACCCGAGATGCAGAGTCCTCACCGACGACAGGACAGCCTCCCATAGACAAACCAGATGGCTGGATCAGTTGACCATTGCTAAACAAATCCTTCTTTACCTCCACAAGAACCCGGTTCTCACCGCATTGAACAGCCACACTACTGGGAGTCACGGGTTGCCTCAACTGAAAATCCACCGCCAACTCGCTTTGCACCTCTGGAACGATGGGAAACCTCCAACTCAAAGGCTTGACTGGACCCTGCAACAGCTGCTTCTCCTG